GTCACTAAAACTCCGGCAGCCGAAGCTTAAACTTATTATAATAAATTGAATAATTATCTTACAAATGCATGCAAGCAATTCGTGTCAAACTGAATGATGCTGTCAAACCAGGGGTCACTTCACATCCATTATCACCCCAGGTGGTCGTTGCTCCAATTCAGCCTCTATTAGCCATGACCGGGCAAGGCTCCTGAAATGACAACCCCCCACCACCACCTTTATGCCCGAGGTCAAAGGTAAGCATGCAGGCCGCAGCTGCGCCAGTTGCTTTCTCAATCCTGAAGTTGTTTCTGATGGTCGTCCCTGAGTAATCGTTGATTTCAGTGGGATTACAGTGTCCTGACTCAACCCTGTCTGCTTTGAGACTCTCATCAAAGGTTGGAGCTGGAAAACAAACATCAGCGATTTAAACTGACAGGGCAACGGACCTGAAGCCAGATTATAAATCAAGGTTTTCATACAGAACAGTGCTAGAGATCTGTTTACTCTTCTTTTTCATGATCCAGGTATTTAACTCACTGTGTGTATTGCAATTTTATGGGAAGGGTTATTTGAGTTGTTACATACAAATTAAGTTTGTTCTGTAAGGTCAATTAGTTACTGCCAGACAAACTAATGCCATATTTGTCACAGAATAGCTCTGTTCATTTATTTCATGTTTTTCCCTCAGGAGCCAGTCATTATTTTCTGCAGATATTCACTTGCTACACAGTTGATGTTTCGTCTAGATTCATGAGAAGCAGCCACTCTGGATTCAGACCAGGAGGAAGGCGCTTCAGGCAGCACTAGTCGACCCAGATGTGACTGGTGTGATGGATGGAGTCGAACAGCCATTGCAACAATATGTCTATTTCAGTCGCCCATTGTTTGGCACTCAGTCATCATTGTGTATGTAACAAGTCAACAGCCAGTCTCCCGTGTGTACTACCCTTTTGCTCACAAAAGAAAAAGGATTCAGAAAAAAAAAAAAAAACGGGCATGTGTTTCCTCTCTCTCAGCACGTGTCCTTCCACTGAGTAAAACTGCTCATCTCCCACTTTCCTCTCTCTCATTTTCTATAATACATGTACTCAGTTGCAGCACATGCAGAATAGGAAATGTTTGGGCGGCATGGCAACACATTTCCAAAATGGAATAAATGCTTGGCAGCACATGTGTTGTCAAATACTCTGTGGTCCGATGGCAGTCCTTTTTCTGGTAACAGGAGAAGGCTGGCAGCATCGGTCCTTGGAGAAACACTTGATTTGAATGAGTTGCTGTGTTTACCACAAAGCACATCAACACTGAACAATGTTGCCATCTGCTCCCCATAAACTGTGAGTGAGATTTACGAGCAGTGTTACAACCTGAATTCTGGGTTTTCCAGGGTTTATCTCGGTCAAGTCAACAACATGTACTGTTCAGGTGGTGCCTATCAGCTGCTCATCACTATCTCACTCTCTCTTCCTCTAACTGACAGCTGCTAGGAAAAGACTGCTTTCTCTGTAGAGACATTTTGTATCCTAAGAACAGTAATTAATGCTGATGGAAAATATCTGCCAAATAACAACCCTCTCAAGCAAATGTTTTGAAGTGTTTATGGCTGATGTTGTTCAATTGGCTTTATTGGCTGCTGGAGGAGAAAAATCAGATGACTAATACTTATTCACGCCATTAAATAAATGTATTAACTCAACCTGTTTATTGTTTCTGAACCCAGGAGGCTAACTGAAAACGTCCAGTGAGATTTCAACTCATTATAGGATTTCATGTCTAATTTCTGCAAGAATAACTCTTCATGAGAGCCTTTCTCCCATCACAGTGAACAGGGAGCATAGTGGCCTTAACGGTGACTTGCTTATGTAATGTCAGGAATATCTAAAGAAAAGAAAAAAAGCTTATACTACAGGGATTTCCAGGTATTCCTGGGTGGTTGGCATACAACAAAACCAGTAATTACAGCATATTATGTAGATGTAAATCACACTGACATGCAGAGGTGGAGGGGAGGGCACAGCATTCATGGCAACCATGGTGACAAAGTGTTGGGTTGCACTCTGTCACCTTTGAGTGGAGCACTAGTCAATCAGTGACATGTGACACTGCCGGCCACCTGTCTAACTACGATAGGTGTCTGCTAACACACGTACGCACTTACAAGTACACATGTAAACCCAGATAAACGCAGCTGTCCTGCACAGGAAGATTAATTAGTCCGACCTAAAGCACAAAATGTACGTTCAGTAAACGGGAGGAGCAGTTCCAAGCATTTTTGTCTCCTGAATCCTCAACGAAGAATTAATGCTTGGACAGGACTTTTATTGCTTTTTGTGTAATCAATATCATTACAAATAGCATTGCTTTTTATTATTAAAAGCAGCTGTTATCATGTAGAAGAAAGTCATGATTGATGAGGTGCATGTGTCATTCTGCTGTGCATATACATTTCCTGTCCGGTGCAATTCTTTATTTTTACACCATGCCACTACCTGCAATATTATATTTCAATCACATCTGTGTAAAAATCTGTATATAGTGTACAACACTAATTCTATTTTTTTTAATGATATCTTTTATTTTTCTATTTTATCTTATCTTATGAATAGGCTTCTTCTAAATATATTTTTTTATCAAGAAATGATTTGCATTACTAAACATTAATCACTTCTTCATAACATCTCTTGTTTTGCTTCTATTTGAATTCTTTCTTTGCCAGCAAAGATGGTTTCTTGCTCTCTGGGCATAACAAGTTTTTCGTCCCGCATGTTGGACTGGAGACAGACTAGACACTAACGTGACACCCTATGGCCTCTTGAAGTCGTATTATGAGACGGAGGGGGGCCATGGCTAGCTGGTTAGCATGCAAACTTCAGTGGATATCGCTGCAACAAAATACATAGACATGTTTGACATAACACCAAAATAGTTATTTCTTAACATTCTGTTAATTTTAATTCATGTTAAAACACAAGACAGTTTAATCGTTGTATGCATGAGGTAATAGTGCATGTACTAAAAACAGTGTTCATGTAAATCAGCATCATCTAATATGAGACAGATACATTTTATGGTAAATGATCTCATTAAGATTAGTATTGATACTCAGAAACAGAACTTACTACATAAGTTACCATATTAAATGATTGTAATTATCTTGCTTTTACGTCTTATTATCCATTTGTTTGTCTTTGTACTTTTATTGTTTCTTTGGCTCTTTGCTTTCTTTTTCTGCTCTTCTTATTCTCACTTCAGTATATACAGTATATACAATACATATACAGTTGTTTACCCTGTTGTTCTGTTTTTCGGTTCCTTTTTCGGACTACCCATCTGCACTATAATATAGCAACTGTTCCCCCAAACAATAATACGCACATAAGTTCTACCAGAAGAAGGAGAAGAGAAGGCTTAGATGCTTCAAACGTATCAGTACTTACAAGAAAATAAAGACACACTCTGCTAAAGCTAAGATGCAAGCATGATTCCCACTCAGTCACACGTAAACACCAGATTACGCCTTAAAAGCCTGATGAAAAGGTGATGTCATTATTCTGACCTCCTCTGAAGTTCTCAAAGGATAGTTCAAGTGATCTCGCTGACAGCGTCAAACAGAGCTTTCTTTGAAAACGCAGCCAATGTTTTCTCACATGTAATCGAGGCGGCGCAGTCCAGAGTGCTGTAAATTTGTGTAACTTGGCCTTTCCTGTCTCCCTCTCTCCAATGTCTACATTTGCCAGCCACAACTACAATGCTTCCTATTTATAGCGCTTTTACCTCAGATATTAACTCTCTCCCCCGCTTAGCCTGCCACTTCCTGCCAGAGAGGAAACGCACATGTGTGTCTGTTTGTCTGTGTGTGTGGTTCACTGACCTTTGGGAGCAGTGAGAAAGCACAATACTGTTGATGGCAACGGGATTTTGTGTTTCTTTTGTGTTAAAAAAGCGAGGTGTGAACAGATGTCTGGGCCTTTCACCAGTTTACGCCCGTTTTCATTTTCCATCCTCTAAATCTTAGCCGTCCGCCTTCTATTCATGAACTCATCCCTGTTTGTGCAACATCTAGACACAAACTCTCACCTATGGGAAACAAAAAAAAAGTGACCACTTATATAGTTTTCCGGGCCAGGTGACAGGATTTCTGTGCAAACAAGCCTTGCACACTCCGTATCTATTTCAGGGCCTTTCAATGAGTGCTGTACGTGTTTGGGTGTGTGTTTGTGTAAGCCAACACCTCAGAGTTGAGATTTCGGAGTTCACCTTCCTTCAAGGCCATGATCGAAGGAAAAGCTGCAACTGGCTAGAACATCCTGTTTTGGACGTAAACACTGTTATGCAGGCAGGGCTTTCCTCCCTGTGTCGGAAAAACAGTCTGTCTTATCACTTTATTTCAGTGATCGGCCTCCCTGGTGGCCAATAATAATGATGTCACAAGTCTTTAATGCGGTTTAAAGAGTGAGGCCCTTCAATAAGTAAGGCTTATAAAAAAAGGTGGCAGGTGCTTTGAGTTTGGTTCAGCGACTTGGACAGACATGAGAGACACATGATAGGAAATCCCAGGGAGGAACAAACTCGCCCGGCCGACGTGTCTGTTTGTCTCTCTGCCTTGCAGGTCCTGGGACATTTTCACCTCATCATCACCTCCTCCAGTCACTGCCGGCCAGGGATATTCCACGTCTAGACTTCCTGCCATTCTGTTTGGAGCTGATGGGCAACATAAGGGCACTAGACAGATGTTTACCTAACCTGATGTATTCATAAAGAGCTGTAAAAAAGTGGAAGTAGTCACTGAAAAGAAAATAGCAAATGAATTTGAAAGGACTTAAAAATTTTGAATGAGTGAGTTTCATTACAAATGGTTTTGAAATGTGATGCAGGAAGTGAGTGTGGGGGAGCAAGCACAACTTCTGAAGCGTATCTGGAAACTTTGCAGCTTATTCAGACCTTTGATCTGTCAAAGTGAAAGTCTTCCACAGCAATCTCGAGCATTTATTAATAAGCTGAAATTAAACCAGACATATGAGTGCAGGTTGTAAATTTATTTCATGTCCATTCTGTTAGAAGAAAGACCTTCTTTCTCTTTTCGCAAACAGCTCATAAAAAACAGTCACTTAGAAAAATATACATTGATATTAGAACTGAAAACTTGAGATTCAGTGTTGAATTCAAATATACAATTTGCATATTAAGAAACTACAAAAAGGTCAGAAAAGGTGGCTTCGATTGAGGCTAGTTTCTTGAAGAGAACAGCTGGAACAAGCATCCAAAAGAAGGCACTGTCGTTTTCCGAACTCCTCATAAAGCTTATTGAGCCTACATTCAGCACAAAAACAAAAATCTGATTTAATGTGTGCACAAAAGATGAAGAGAAAGGTCATGGGTAAGTCTGCGAGAAGATACTTCTTCCTGTTGTTTACCCCTCCCTGTTTCACCCCATCATTGACGCCCCCCACTTTCTCTGAGAAAAAGAAAACAACAACAAAAAAAAAACTCGGGCTTAATACAGGAAAGCCCAGGTACTGCTACAGAGCTACAAATCTATGGTTAGCTGACTTTGGAAAGGTCATCAGGTTGAAAAGACAGTGGGGGCTTTTAAGACTAACCCTCACTTTCCTACTCCTGAGTTAAGCTGAATACCCAATAAAACAACTAAGGTCACTGCTTTTTGATTCAAACAGTAAGAATGTTCAAGCCAAATGTGTCATTAAGAAACCAGCCGTTAACAACATACTTAATCCTTTATCATCTATAACATCTTCCTCATCTTTCCCTTTAGAAATTGACAAAAACATCCTCCACTCTTTCTCATAGCCCTTCTTAATAGTCCTCTCTTGGTACATCATCAATGTCCAAAACCTTCCTACATCAGTCCAGACACGGTCTTTTTATTATCTCCTATAAAATTTTCAGTTTCTCTCAATCTGGTCAAGATCCAGCTCTCCCCCGAGCTGGAAAATGTCCCTCTGTGTCCCGCAGTCACCCTTCCAGAGGGTGTGTTTACCACCCACGATGCCTACAGGAGACCCGGGCCGTGAATCCACGCTACAAGCCGAGTCGCTATCCAGCTCCTCGTAGGATGAATCCTCTTCCTCCTCATCTTTTGCCACTTCCTGCCGTGACTCCAGTCCCATCTCTGGCATAGCAGTGAAGTCCAAAACTGGTTGGCTGGAGGTCTCAGAGGTGGGAGGGGGCAGGCTTGATTGGCAGCCATCGGTGGAAGAGAATCCAGGGCAGCTCAAGCTCTGAAAAGTCTGAAGTTTCTGTATAGAGGAGAGAAAGAGGAAAAAGAGACATTGGTATGTGCACCTTAAGTCGTGTTCACATGGCTAATGAGGCTACAGAAGAAGACATTTGTCAGGGGGAATTTGAGCGCCGGGTTTTCCAGAATGTCAGTTTGAGGTTGAGTTTCAGTTTGGGAAGCCAAAAGCTGGTCTTCCCTTTCATTGACGGCATGTAGCATGTAAACACGATTACACACACAAGCTGTGGAAGAACATGCACAAATTCTAAACCTTCTGGGTTGTTTGAGAAAAACATTTAGATGAGTTGCAAACCACAAAAGGTATCTTGTTTCAAACTGTGCTCCAGGCCTATTTATCAATGTGGAAGCCAGTGTGAAACCCATACAGCCTGACTGGGAACACAAACATGTAAAGTGGAGGACATTTCTTGTTTAAGCCATTGTTGTTCACAGTTGTTACGATGTTTTGTAGTTGTGCACTGTAGGGTGAGCCAGGGAGAATCTGCGCGTGAACAACTGCATGTGTTTTTGCTCTCAACACTTGACCTTGAAGAGATTTCGTTCACTGAGAAGTTGTCTCCCGGTTTGCTTTCATGCTCTCTTTCCACCCTGAATTCCTCTCTGCAACAAAGAAAGGCAGCCGTGCAGCGCAGTGAAGGGGTTAATGATCTCTGGAGTGCCCCAGCAGCAGATGTTGGAGGCATGGAGGTGAATAGAGATGAGGTTTTCTCTATAGAGCCTCAACTTACATGACAGACACCTCTAATGTTCCCCAGTGTGTTAGGACATTGCTTTTCCTGTTACAATGAACTGGGAGTCTCCCATTTCTTAAGACTCACTTTAGTGGGCTCATTTTTTTTCCCTACCCTGATTTAGCACGGTCCAAAAAGGAAACTATAACGCAAGATTTTGGTTGTCCGAGTTAAAAGGTTTTCTCTCTTTTGCTGGATTAACTTTACGTGTAAGCCGCTCAAACTCAGGATACTTCATCTGCAAACGCTTGAGGTGCTCATGCGAAGAGTAGGAGGCCTTTGCTGTAGTTACCCCACCGGAGTGGAAAAGGGGATTTCTGAGCCCTTGCTCTCTCTGTTCAACCCCCGGTATTACCCCACTACTAATTATCACAGCAGAGGAGGAGACGAAAGGCAGGGAGAAAGGAGGGGGAGAGGCAGCTTCTCCACAATATGCTTTCTATAAAATCTACCAAGGCTGACTGGGATTTGGGTGGGTGTGGTGGTAGGTTGGGGGGAGCAGGGGTTGGATTTCTGTTGTGTACCCAGCTTTGCCTGTGTTTTTCTTTTGTCTCTCACTTGAGCATACCCCTGAACAGATGGAACACATCCAACCCATATTCACTTTTACCACATATACTCTCTAACTTCATCCTGTCATGTCAAACTTAACCTACTGTCATAACCAGGAGTTGAGTAGGTTATTTTCTTAATCTAATCATTTGCTGACTTAAAGTTGTAATCCTTCGAGGAGTATGATTTAAGCAATTTAGTAATACACTTTCACAAAGTTGAGGGACTCACAATAAAACATTTAACAATGGCCAAAATTGAGTGAATCTAGAGATCTCATAACTTTAAGTCATTAATATTAAATATCAAGGTAAAAAACAAACACTGGATACTACATGTCCCAAAATGTAATTTCTTTTAAACTGTCCCTACCTTCTGCCCACTTATTTCAAACCCCATATCTCCTGTTTACAATGCAGGCTTTCTGTTAAACCTAAACTCATAAAATGCTCCTCCAGAGCCTCAGTGGACATTATATTACTGTTTTCACAGGCTGAGTGGTCCTTGTCATGGCGAGTAAACTAAACCTCATGTGTAAACTCGGGGTGTTGCTCCCTTAAGTTTTCAGTTTGGCATGGGTGCGTAGTGATACAAAACTACCAACTGCTGGCCATAAAAAGAATCAAATCAGAAATGGTTATGGTATAATGAAAATATTTAGGATTATAACTGTACTAGTTATATATATGTGCATTTTTAAAATAATTCATTAAAGTCGTAAAGCGAAATGCTATTTTATACACATACATAAGTGGTGTTCTGACATTATCCATTATTGCAAACCATCAACGCAACCAGAACTTCCACTGCATTGACATGATCTACAACATCTGAATTGAAACGCAGCTGCTGTAGGAGAAGCACAAGCACAAGCTAAGAGGTTAGGCAAATATCCTGATAATTAGGGCAAACAACAAACAGCACCCTGCTAAGTAATATGGCAAATGCCATGCTCTGAACTTGACAAGAAAAAACACACACACACACACACACACACACACACACACACACACACACACACACACACACACACACACACACACACACACACACACACACACACAATGTAGGTACCTTTCTATGCACTCTATGTACTGACTCAAAATACGTGTATATTTCTTTGGACTCTGCTGAAATTAGGTCACATAAAACAACATCCAGCGACACATTGCTCTGAGGAAGACAGGCAAACAGACCTCCAACAGCAAACAACTCTAAAACAAAAGAGAGGGCAGCGGTGCAAACAAAGACGGGAGAACTTAACTCATTCCTGACAGCCAGACTACATGCTTCCACACCTCCGCATCTCATATCTGTGTTGCGGCCTGTGTGTGAATGCTTTGGTCTGTGTATTTGTCTGGTATTCACTGTACCACAGAGAGAATGCATGGCAGATATAAGCAAATGCCTACAGGTAAGATGAAAAAAGATAAATATGTCAAGTTGGAGCGCAGGTTGAATCCAAGTGATATGTGTAACTGAACACTGATGCTTTACAGAGTTCCTTTGCGACGAGTCACAACATGTCGTTACATACACGGCGACCACCGCACCTCGAGACGCCAACCTAGGTGTTCCCATAACCCTACAGGGCTTGACGCTCAGCTATGATCACCATGTCTGCCATCCCAGGAATGGAGAGAGATGGAGAGAGGAGGGGAAGAGCAGAGCAGCTCGAACTTGGGCCAGCAAGAAGATATTAATAGAGAGGAGTGAGGAGTTTGTCTGCCAGCTTCCCTGCAGAAATAATACCCCCTTTCTTCGCCCTGCCATTTCTCCCCTGAATGCACAGGCATCTGCACACACACACACACACACACACACACACACACACACACATTCAAGCATTCTCTCAACACGCCCCCTTTTACCACCTATACTGCAAACACAGCGAAGCCAAAGATAGCCTGTAATTTTTCTTCAAAATGTACAGCGACCTAACTGAAGCCGTCAACTGGGGCTACGAGGACGACAAACAAATAAAATAATCCCAACCAGCCAGACAGGCCTCACACCGGCCATTTCCTCAAAAGCAAAGTGTGAGCTGCGTCAACAATCATTCAGCGAGTGACCTAGAATCAAGAGATAACATTCCCCATCTGACAGCTCACTACGCCCACTATGCTGAGGAAAAAACAATGAAGGGCCAAGTTGGAAGGGCAGCCAGGGATAAAAATGAGACAGTGGACAGAGGAGTGAGCTGATATACGCGGCTGACAGGGAGGATATTCAAGGAATTTTGGGGGTGGTCGCATGTAAATCCCTACTGTAGTCAAGTTATAGCCGATTAGCATGACATGCATCCCCAGAATTCACACCCGCCTTCATTGACGTTGTTGAGGAATCTAGAGGCCAAATTACACCATGTTCCACTGACAACACACTCTGGGGACTTGTTACGTGTTGACCCTCACAATCCTTAACCCCCTGAACCTCCAGCACACTGTAACCAAGATGACAAGACGCTCCTTCGGGTGTCACAAACTACACAGACTACTATTCTTTTTTCTTTACCTGGACTTAAGACTCTATTACTCATCCACACACCTATATAATGGAGGAAGTGTGGTGGCAAGTGTGTGTAGGTGTGAGAAGAAGCAATAACTCTTAATGTACGTATAGTGTAGTGTATGTAAGGCAGGCAGGCAGGCAGGGCTGAGTGGGACGCCTTTTCAGCCTGAGAGTGCTGTGATGAAAACCCACCCACTTCTTGGGAAAGAGTGGGTGGGAGTATGTGTGCAGAGCCAGGGGAAAGGGGAGTAAGAGCTTCACTTAATCACACACACTGTCAGTGGTAAGTTCACACATCAAGTTTGCCAAAAAAAAAAAGGTAAAACCGTCAAATGCAAGAAATGTGATGTGATTCTGACATTTATTTAAATCTCTACCACAAGTCACGCAAATTACCTCAATCCCCCAAGAGGCGTGAAAATCTCATCTGCTTTCAACCCTGACGGTAATTCTTCTGTCTTTACTAGAACAGACGCAGGTTGAAACTAGCCCCGCGTTTCCACATTATCACTTCCTTTTCCAGACAATTTGCCAGCTACTAGCTTTCCCTTGGCACACACTGAGACAAACCACCTCGTTAACCTATGACAACCAAGTGACTCTTCAGTGGGTGCTTCTGGGAGTTTTGGGTTATTTCATTTAGCTTGACATAGTACAACCCAGCTTGTTTAGGTTGTGTGTACACTAGATGCAGCCTTTGGGCCTGCATCAAAAATACTAACATGTCAGAGAAGCATAGGAAGAGAAAGAGAAGTGAGAGAGTAAATGTGTGCTAAATGATACTGTATGTTCTGTGTACCCGCTTACTTTCCGCTCTCCAGGCACGCAAGTGAGAAAGTAAACACAGCAACAGTAGATCTACCCATCCAACCTGCATGGCCTGAATCCTTTCACCGGTGCTGAGTACACGCAATCATGCAAGTCAGTTAAAAAAACAAAAAAATAAAAATAAAAACCTGAACTGAAAACAATGCCTCAGCCTGTTAACTGCTGAGAACAGGATACTACGTCTGCAATCATCTGCTGAGGTCTGCTCGTGCATTCAAACATTTCTGCAACCAGAGGTAAGGTAAAAAACTGACTGTGTGTGTGTGTGTGTGTGTGTGTGTGTGTGTGTTTGTGTATCTGTGCGTACATGTGTGATCATTGTGCTTGATTTTCCCCTCTTAGCTGCTGGCATGACTAGAGGAAACACGCTCGCTAGGCTCCATTACCAAAGCCTTGTTTATCCAACCCTGGCTAGGTCCTGAGGGTGACTGGCTGGGAACACAAATCTTTGGGAAAAGGAAGGGAGGGTGGAGGGATAAATTAATGGTACTTTCTAATAAGAGAACAGGAAAAGGACAATATTTCCGTGACTGGAGGTGCGATTCAGGAAGATTTTGAATGTTTTAAACAAAGTTCTGAGTCATTGCATTGTGTCTGAGTACAGGTTGGTTTGTTTGGTATCAGCGTCTGCTGTTCGTGCTATTTCTTCTATGCAGAATTTCCGGAGCATTCAAATGGGTAATGAAGATGAATGTGACGTGAAGAATAAAATCAAGATCTTTCTGGGCTCTGTAAAAACATCAGAGCACTGCCAAGCATCAAAACAGTACATGTCATTTAAATACTTCCACGGCTCTATTTTGGGTTTGGGTTTGACCAGGGGTCATTTATACTCTCCAATGCTGTTCCAATGCTTCCTCTGACCTTACAAAAGAATAAACAAACTCTTGTCTTGGGGAGAGCATTTCCGGGTTCTGTGCATCCAAATATCCCCACTATTAATCCCCTTTGGTTACTCTGGTAACTGTTTGATTGTAGACACAGGGCAAAAGAAACGGATCAACCAGTAAAGGGAATTAAAGATGGTTGCAGAGAGGAAGAAGTTGCAGAGAGGAAGTAAATGAAAAGGTGAGGGGTCCAACCTTTGGATAGGCTGTTTACCCAACAGAGTAAATGAAATGATAAACCGGAGCCGGGCTTGCTAGAGCGTATCGGTAGGCAGCGTGACCGAACATGAGGAATGCTTCCTTAGTAAGCACCACTCCCTGGGCTGGAGGGAGGCCTGAGATCACTTAGCCCTGAAGCCTCGGACTGACGACCCAGAAAACTTAATTCAGCTTGATTTAATCCAGTCCCTGATCAGACTCAGAGAGAGACCCAGTTATGTTTGAGGATCACTTGAACTTCCCCTTGGTCTAAGAACAAAGAGGTATTTGTCTGCTCGGTAAGTGTGTTTGGTCCAGATCCAACTAAATGCAATAGAGACATTTTGCAGCATTAAAGCAAGATTAGAAATAAGCTGATGTTGATTTATGTTTAATCAGTGAACGACAGTGATACTAAACTCTGTGAAATGAGTCAAATTATAATTGCACACATTCAAATGTATGCGAGTGTGTGTGCTTGTCTATGCATGTCAACATTTCCAGCTAACCTGAGTCATCTTTGCCAGGTCCAGGGAGGGCCGCTGCTCCTGGGCATCTTCTGGTCTCCTACGCTTCATACCAATCTTTTTGTCGTTTAGCACGCAAGGCTGGGACCTGCTCCGTGACAGACACCCCGTGCCCCCGGGTCTCTGGCCGGCTCGTCTCCCTAATTCTGGGGTGGAGTCTGGAGAGCTGGCCTCCGACGCCTCTTCCCTCTGGAGTTCTGGCAGGCTGATCTGCTCGTGGGAGAGCGAGAGAGGCCTGAGGAAGTGGTGATGGCAAGAGTGGTGATGATGGGAGGAAGGAGATGTAGGGGAGACTGGAGAGGCTGTGAACTGAGGGAGGAGAGGCAGTCGCTGGTTAAAGAATGGCAGGTCCAGGGCTCCATCTGAAGGGATGCTGGAGCGTGAGGGCAAACTAAAGCTGGAGCTACGCTGCACGGCAGGAAAATGGCTGCCAGAGAAACCCCCTCCTCCTCGGACACTTCCTCCACTGTGGCACCTTCGTTTCTCCACTGGTGTCCACACCCGGGAACCTTGGGGCCTCCAAGATGAGCGAAACCCACTGAATTCGTCTGAGAATGACAGGGAGCGACACTGGCGTTTGCTTGGGGGTGCCGTAGGGGCTTGGCTGATAGCTGTAGTGGTGTAGTGTGCAGTGGTGGACATGGTGTGACAGTGGGGGGTGGCTATGCTGCCGTTGCCGAGGCTGAGATCTCTTATCAGACTGGTGATTGCTGTGGCGCTGCCTGGCTCCTTGGCCCAGTGCCAGTTCCCTGGGTCAGGCATCACATCCCACAAACTCTCCAGACTGGCCCCAGGCTGGCAGGGTGTTCTCTGCTGGATGGCACAGCTTTGCCCCAAGTCCAGCCACCTATCCGCCTCTGCAAAATTCAAAACATACAAATTCACTCTCACTGACCTCGATAGCAGCCTATTTTATAAGTCTATCAGTGGAACAAGTAATAATGCGCAAAACTTGCATAATGTTAATTACAGCATGAAGAATTTTAGCTTAGAGGAAGGAAGGAATATCTGAAAGGAACCAGTAATACTTAACCACTCAGACACAAAAGGCACAAATAAACAGAAATGAGGCCAGAAGGAATAGTTACTGTGAGAACAAGCTGTCCGGAAGAAAAAAGGGAGATTATGATGATATCATATTTGTATGGTAACTGCAGTAGGGAAGAACTGAACATACATTTAAAGTCATTCAGGGCAGTTACACACCACTAAGCACAAAAATCTGATAAATATAATCTTTGGTGCATCAAAAAATCATGCAAAATTGTCATCAGTCATTTGTCTTAAGATGATTGACAGGTTTAAGGATAGAGGAAATGACATTGCAGCTGCACAGCTCAAAACCAGTGCTGCACATGTGTATCTGTACTAAAAGCTGAAAAACAAAAACAAAACTGACCGCAAGCACCATCTTCTGCAAGCACAGTGGTATTCAATTCTCAATGCATTTTAAGGAATACATTTTTTGTATGTCTGAGATGTTTTTTATTACAAATTTGGTATTTGGCTCATTATGATATACTGTATGCCTTAATGGCCGACAGTATGACTCAAGAAGGTTACTATGTGTTATGTCTCATTATTGTTCCCATAAACAGCTCAAGGACATGCAGAAAAACCTCAGCTGTAAGTTGTGATGGCAAAATACAAAAAAATAAAAGTATCTGACTGTTCCTCAGTCCGTATGTCAGTCCACTAAATGCTATAGATGTCGTTTTTAGGTATCCAGCAGACAAACAAGCAACATCTACATTCCTTACTATTTAAAACCTGGACCTGCAAGAACGATGATTCCAAAAACATGAACTACATATTATGATAAGAATCAGCCAGTGAAACAGATGGGAAGTCACTCCCATTAGTCAAGTGGTTAGCAGGATATGCTGTGGAAAGCAGTACGACTTGCCAGCTGTCTCACCATCCGCACAAAAGAATCTATCACACAGTTGTGGGAGATAATACACCTACAGTAAAGTGCCATAGTGGCTCGAACTACCGAGCCAAGTGGTTAAGTTGTGAATCTATTGACGCTTTTGGCAAAAAGGGCCGTCTTGCTGATCCAAATCCCGTCCTTTGGATGCTTGTCTCTAATTTTGGCATGCTCTCTCACAGACTGGTGGACGGAAATCATTGTTTTGGGCGGACAAACAATGTACGGGGGCTACAGTGACGACCTGGCAGGAATGTTAGGAAAACAGCTATACAAAGAGAGAAAGGGATGAACTTCAAAAGGCCACCCTTTGAAAGTAAGACACAAAGTGCCGGTTGAACTAACAAGACATGCTAGACAATGTTAATATCAACATTAACAGTGGAACTCGCCAGCCACGTTCTTCCCTCTGACATCACCACGTCTCCCCACAAAAGAAAAAGAGAATAGTGACAAATGGCGGGGGCTTGTATTAACAGTAGCATGTCTTTTAACGCAGGGGGTAATTACTGCAATACTAACAGAGCTGAAGGGAAATTGTTGACATAGGCAACAGCATATTCAATTACAGTTCACTCCCATGAGAGTGGTGTGCAACGTTGTGTGGAGGCAGGTGCACCCTGATCATGAGAGGGGGATGAGTGACAGACAGAGAAAGGGAGAAGTGAGAGACGGAGTGAGACAGAGGGGATAAACAATGAGATGGTTATAGTGGGGGGGGGGGTCGCCAACTTTGATGGTTCAACTTATCAAGGGATTAATGGGGCAATTAATTATGCTATTACATTTGTGAAATTATTGTATGATAAAGGATCCCAGCTCAACCACTGATACTGTCCAGATCTTGAATGAATGCTTTTTTTGTTGCATGAAAGAGGAAGCTAAGAAGAAAAGAGAAACAGAAAGACATAAAGTAAATGGAGATAACTTACCCACAGTTCCACAGGAGAAGAGGGTGGTCCCTCTGCTCATGGTGTGGAGGTCACGCTGTGGAAGAAAGGCAGACAAAATAAACAAAAAAGTAAGACACAAAACCTCATCGTGTTTGCCCTCAAAGCCCAAACAAATGAAAAGATTGACATCAATTTCATTTCTGCACGTTCAGTACCCCGATAGGTCTGGAACGTACTTAAAAAAAAAAACGTACATTTACATAAGTGCAATTCTAAAGTACTTGCACTTTTCTATTTATAAATCCATTCCACTATATTTGATAAACATATTGGACTTTTAACTCTAAGTTACCACTGCCCTGAATTTCACATATCACATATATCAATATCACATTTTATAAAGAAAAAATTGTTGTTGCAAATTTGAGTTACATTTTTTATATTATGCTTCTACTTTTACTGAATACTTCTTCCACCACTGTCCTAAGCAAAAGGCTAAAAACAGAAACTGCTATGTTAGCTCTGTCTTCTTTATATGTGTAACACTGTAAAACACATTTCTTCACAAATTATTCTTTTACACTTGCAAGGCCAGACTCAAATTACATATCAGACGGCTCAAAGTGTAATTTTGAGACGATGCTGGATGATAATTTTAGAGAGCCATATTAACTTAAGTTTGCATACATCTGTTTTTGGTTTAGGGAGTATAAAGCAGTTCTCTCTACCCACGCCTATGTTCAAATCAAGACACCTATACTCTCTCACAGCTCACTTCTTACAACAGGGTGGTGGCTGTCTGCACAAAAGACAAAAGGAAAATGCCATGATACATTGCTCTGACTCACCTTGAGGTTATTACCACAACAGAAAATGTTTTCTAAGATACGAGGCATACATTTCGAAATAAAGGCTCTTTTGTTGCAGAAGACGATTAAATGAAACTTGGTTGACTGATTTTTGAAAATATGAAATTTTGCTAGGTAAACAAACAACTAAACTGATCATGAGATTAATCTGTGATAAAGAATGTTTTCTGATAAACCCCCCCTTGAGAGGTTGAAGAATTGGTTTGAGAGACAGAATCATTTTAACATATAAGATTTGATAGAGGCAGGGCGAGAACAACAGGAAGAAGCTTTGCTCAGATTACAAGTCATGCACAACTCTTTCTTGTGGTGTCTAAATAGAGCGATACAAATAAAATGTAAAATGCTCCTTATTTTATTTTCAGAAATTCTCAGTACTTAGAGGTGAAAAAGGAAATACGATATGATATGTCTTCCCTCATTTCTCCAGGTTTTTTCTTTAATTTGTCAACCGTCTGCAGGTCTCTCATCTGCATATTTGTCCTATTTAAGCCCAAACCTTGAATCAGAACAGACCTTTCTGTCAAAAATTTAAAAAATGCCTTTCAAGTACTCCAAAATATTCAAATTTGTCAACATTTTCAAACCTAGCATTCCCACTGGACAAGACTTCAGAGGTGCCAGGTGCAGTGAGTGACATATTTTGTGTAAGCCAACTATTCCTTCTTCAACAATATCTTTTCTGTTTCCTTTCATTTTATTAAGTACACAACATACAAGCTGTAAAACATTAGCTTGGAGAATACTTTTGGTTTTAAACTTTGGACTAAGTTAGGCTGACTTCCCCTCCCAACCCACCTACTTTAAATCTTTGGGATAAGCTGGCCCTAAACACATCCCAGACCCCTTTGTACCGAACGCACAAAGATGTAATCTATATGGATCTTCTCATCTGGCTGGGGGTAAGACAGCTACTAAAGTGAAAGTGCTTAGTCTTCCTTTTACTGTAACACTAATGAGAACTAAAAATAACATACTCACTACCACAATGAACATGCAACTATATTGTGGTCTGGTATACTTACACACATTGTGCAAGTGAGTATGCCTGACTACAGGTGGCATCTGCGGCATGTGGTCATGCACTTATGTAATATAATCACTGACCTATTCATTTTGCTGACTACTGCCTAACATGCAAACCAATGTGCAGATCCTTAACTGCAACAATAGTTAACAACCGGTTTTGCTTTGTGTGAAACTCAAAAAGGTTAAGTTTCTCTCACCAGCCGTCTCTCGGTGTTCTTGGACCTTACATCATTGACACCCTTCTTCTTTTCCAGTGTTTTCAAGAAAATGATCACCATGGTAACACGCAGCTCTGCTCCAGTCTGTTGGGATGCAGAAGAAGGCCAGAGGCAGCCATCTTAGACGGGGCAGGAGGGCAGATAGTGCATTTGGGCTGAACAGATGACCGGTTGGTGACCTCCCATCTGAAGCGCAGTCTTCAAGTGCTGATGATGGTTGTGGTTGAGGAGGAGGTAGACACACTTGAGCCGATCCCTGTGTTGATGGAAAGAGATGAGTGAGAAATAAAAATATATATAGGCCTACTCGTTAAAATACTGGCATTCAAAGTTTTCTTCTACAGTTTTATATTCAGGACACAGTGTTATCACAACAGAACATAGCAACAAAGATATTTTCCACTTTGCCGCACTGCGTCCACAGGTACAAAAGATAGAGGACAAACATCCCAGCTTCTGAGTGTGTTTGAATGGTGGACAAGATGAGCAAAGACATGGGCCTAAACACACCTTAAAGCAGATTATAGGCCCAACAAAAAGTATTTGCACCCCTGACTTAAGTTAAATTAATACTTTTGCAGGATTTTTCATAAATCTACTGAAGACCACAATCTGATATAAATCTCATGTAAATCCCTATAAACATGACTTTGTATGATCCTATACTACCACTATGTGAAGAGAAGCATGCAAACAGCAATTACTGTGCATTGTTCTGTGCCAGGCTGCCAGGAATGAAGTCTTATAAGACCAGATGAATAATGCACACAAATACTATAATCCCATTTAACTAAAGTCCTCACCCACTCAAAAATGTGTGTTAGCTTATTGTTATTTCACTTGGATGTTGTGTTAATAGATTCAGGGTTCTTCAATGAGAGAGAAGGGGGATTCTTATGACTGAATTCTTTTGTGGAAAAAAACATATGAGACTGTTATTCCCAGCTGGTTTTAAAATGTTGATTCTTAAAAAGCTGCCAGGGGGGTTTATCATGTGAGGGTGATCAGTTCAGGGGCTCCCTTGGTGCAAGGAAAATGCTCCCTCAGGCTAGTTAATCTAGCAACTAACCTGGCAAGTGGTAAAAAAAAAAAAAAAAAAAAGAGTTTAACACATTGTTTTTTTCCAGTGCTGATGGTTGAAGTATCTAAGGAGTGACCCTTCTCACTTCCTTCTCATCAGCATTTCAATTTTTCTGGAAACAGAAACAGGAGTTTAAGGACGTGGGCGAAGCTCCCAACTGTTGCACAGTTTGCCACAAGTTTGAGAGCAAGGCTAGGTTATTTGATCATTTGAATAGGGGGAAATAAAAATTAACATCTGGAGAGTAGAAATCTATTTGCGTGGCAGGTGAAAAACAAAGCTGAACCCTGCTCAGTTACGTCTCTAGTCCTACAGCAATGCTTCAACTGATGTCTACACCAAGGAGACAATTTACCAAAAGAAATGAGATGAATAGCATTTTCACTGCTGATATAGTTAAGAAAAAGTGTAGCTGACTTATGTTTTTCCATTCAACATTTACCACCCTGAAACACACCCTGTAAATTAACCACTTAGTCCTCCATATAGCTATACGCCTATTAAAGCTACTGTCGTTGCAAACAAAACATGCTGCCATATGCTAAATTGTTTCCTTATTGCCCTGTATTATGGAACATTTGGCATGTCAATATAATCCACAGAACATATGGGAATCTAACCACGCTATAACAGAAAGCAACTCTTAGCTAATCTGGGAAAAAAGACATCACATGACTACAGATGTGGTTAAGAAACATGAATAGAAAAGGAACATATATGGAACTGTGGTTGCCTCATTGACTGCCGGCACCCGCAGATGGTAAAGCACAGACAGTGCTGCAGTAAACACAAACTCTTAAAACACTTGGAGGGAGTTATATATAAGGCCATATGCTCTTTTTTTTTTGACAAGACATGCCTCATCATGTCTGCTCTGCCATTCTGATACTACTTAATGCATGGGAAAGATCTAGGTAAATGAGGGGCAGGTTCAGTTTAGTTTCTTTATCCTGAGTATAGGGGGGGAAGCAGGAATAGCATTGACCTTGGGCTTGAGCTTCTCTCCTTCATTACCAACCACCAAACACTGACAGCATCCAATTAGAGAGTACCAGCATGGTTCAGATCCCCCAATCAACTGTTGGCTAATGACAGCTTTCTGCTGTGGAGCAACACATGAGGCTAATGGATCTTCCAGGCCTGCCATGTTATCCTGCCCATGTAACATGTGGTTTCATGTTAAGTTAGGGTTGTTGCACTTATATAACATGCTTTAGAGAGAAGCATGCAAGTGGTAACTGGGTATTAAATGAGTTTTGTGGGACAGGGACAGATCATAAAAGAAAAGATGGGCAGGTTGCACACACAGGGATTTCATTTGAAGCAATTTTATACCAGTCTAGTCCTGTCTTGATGCTTCACTATGTCATCTCTATCCCTTCCCTCTTCTCCAGCCCCATGACTACATGAAGACTATAAATGTTTCATGTAGGCCTGCCCCAAACCAACTGCTAGCATATGACTCCCATTATCTCCATTTATCCCAGAGAGTCAGTGGAGCACAACTGGGCCTCCGCAGGCAAGAGGGTCTGGTGCTGGTGGTAGGAGTCAGAGGAGGAGGGAATGTACTTCTTGATCAGTTTTGCAGATTACTTTACTGATTAGGACTGACACTGAGTAATGGGCAGGGGAGCAGGGTGTGTATGTGTGTGTGAGTGTGGGAGTGGGAGCTGAGGAGCATGGCGGTCATGTGTAAAGGTTGTTACGGTGTGCTGTTTGACTGATGCTGTTAGGAAGTGTGACTTGTTCCATCAGGGCTGAAACAGCAGTTCAAGTGTGGCTGTGTCTGTAGGTCTGTTTATGCTAACCTGCACTTGTGTGTGCGCAGTGTGTAGTGACTGGCAAGTGGGGTCATGGGAGAGGGCAGACTGAGTGTGAAGTCAAACCTGGAGCCATGCTTACTTAATGAACCGACTCCTCATGATGGGGAAACCAGAGCTTAATGGAGAGAGAACTGTAGAGCACTTGTGTTGAGCCTCTACTGATCAGATCACATTTTCACTGCTCAAAGTGAATCTTGCTGTTCAAAAAAACCTTTGTTTGACCTTGCTGTCGTACTAAAGAAAATCCAAGAGACTTGTTTGCAGGACAAGTTTGACTGGACTGGACACTAACCAATAAGTCTCAAAAAGCCAGCCAAAAACTCACATGCTCATTTTTACATCCTTCTTGAGAATCATTTGATGGTATCGGTAAAGCTGAACAAAGCAGCAAACAAAGGGTAGTGGCGTAAATGATACTTTGACTCACCCATTCTTGAGAATCCCGTACTCAATAATATAAACAAGGCATTGTCGATTTCAAACAATGCATGAGCAAGCAACTGAGTGTGCTAGTTCTGTTAATTTGTTTAAATACAAAGAAAATGACATTTTCAGGACGGCTGCCATGTTTTTCCAGCTTGACAAACAGCAGCCAGCAAGTTGGAATCAGAAGTAAGATGGGCTCATATAGTCAGACTCATCTACTCATTATAGACCCTACTTGCAGTGACGGCAGTTGCAAGTAAACGTCTACGGAGCCTTGCTAGACAAGAAGGAGCAACATTTGTCTTTGCAATTTTATGTCAACTCTGGTTTCTGTAATTGTGCAGTTGTCATTTTATTAGAAGGAAAGCTCACCAAATGCAAGCTATGATATTATTTGAGCCTAGAAAATATTCTGAGTTCTTGTAACAAAATTTGACCTCCATTGTGGACTGAAATCTAATGGTAATTCCAGTAAGATTTGTGTATGCTGTGGTGCAGACAGCAGCTCTTGGCTCACAATAGCCAATGACTCAGGAGGGCACTAGAAAGGGCAGCTAAGATAATATGGCTCCTTGCCCAGGCTGTGATTTGTACAGGCAGATGAATAGAAGCCTATTTGGGGCCCCCTAAAGTTCTGTGACGGGGTGTTTGGTGTCCATCACCAATTGGCTCTGCTTACTACATACTTGTGCGGAGCGCGTCTGGTGTCAAGTCTTTGATCGGTGGCTGCAGCTGAAAGAAACCAACCTCATTTCATACTAATGAAATGATGAGGACCAACAAACAAAACACTGCATGGGTGATACAAGTGAAAAACCTTGTGCATATTAGATTCTTATTTTGAAATGGTGAAATGTTAGTGATAAAGTGATACTTAACAGTTTTCTCTCAGGCTAGTATTGCTAGAACATATTTATGGTAAGATTACGTAGTCCATACGGCCAATGCGAAACAAAATTCAAACATCAGAAGGAATAGTTTTGCGTGCTAGGGTTTTTTGTAGTCTGGGCTGAATGAAAGTGAGAGTCGTTCTTTTGTGAAAGTCTGCGGTGTGGATTGTTCATTCAGGGTGAACACACAGCCACCCCTCTCTCATATAATGAGGCTGAGGTCGTAAAAATGGTCCTAGGGAGGTCAAGACATACCACTGAATGCTCTGGCCATCACCCCAGTACCCACTGGCACAGGAACAGTGGCCCAAAACAACACGCCATCGCACCCCTAGATCTTCAGAAGTACATAAACAATGAAGAGCTCATTCAGTCAAACTTTATGCGTTGTCAGTGGTCAGGTCCTGGCTTCCTTTTGCAGATTCCCCTGAACGTTTCTCCAACGACAGTGACCATCAGCCTCTGCATAAACACAGCCAGCACTTAAAGCCCCTTCTTAATGAGCAATTTAAAAAGAGCTTTGACCTTATTTTTTTACTTTGGAATAGGAGTGGTTACCTATAACAACAAATCTGCAATGAAAACAGACGGAGGAATCATAATTCAAAAGAACTTCTTGAGAATTGCCTTTTAAAAGTCAAGGCCACTGCTCAGTTGGTATGAAGACACACAAGCATAACACACATATGCAAGCACACTTCCCTTTGCAGTATATGGGTTTTGCTTCCCTTGTGGTCACATGCCGCTGCTGAATTGGGTGTGGAACGCACTGACTTCATTACTAAATACATGAAGAGAGTTAATGCCAAGTTAAAGATAAAAGTTTTAAGATAAAACTCCTCATGGACTTTGTCTGCTTTAAAAAAAAACACATCAAAATAAACATCACATTAACATTTATAGTAAGTAAGCTGTACCATACAGTAAGTAGTGACCCACTATGTTAACTTACATTTAACAGCTTTAAGATTTAACTTAACATATTTGCTATAGTTATATTCCCTATCGGATAAGTAATGTACAAAAATGAATGCCT